GATGAAAGAAGAAGTTCAGGCTGCTTTGAAGGAAATAGCAAAAAATAAGGCTCCAGGAATAGATGGTATACCTCAAGATTAGTCACAATTAATTTGTTGTGACGTACATGGTCAAATGTATTTGCATAATCAATGAAGCACAGACAGACATTCCTCCGGTACTCTTTGCCAAGATCCATGTGACACTGGTGCTAATGTCTCTAGCGCCACGGCCTCTTCTAAACTCGGCCTGTTTTTCTGGTGGTTCTCTGATGTACTGTTCCAGTTATTTTTGGAAAATCTTGAGCAGGATTTTGCTTGTGTGTGAGATGCCTGCTATTGTTTTAAGAGTTTCCACACTCTCTCAGATTACCTTTTTGGGGGATATGAATAAATATGGATCTTTTCCAGTCAGTTGGCCAGGTAAAGGTTACGTATTCGCTTCCAAGAAAGACAAACATCTTCCACTGCTTCTTGAGCAAATAGGTTTTCACCGACCCCCACAGAGCCATCCGTGCAAACACTCCTGCTTCGCGGCAGGTGAGGAGTGTCCAGAGGCCCTCACATATGCTGGCAAGGAAGTCGTGACCTCCCAGAGCAGCAAGAAGAAAACCAACCCCGCCCACAGTGCTCTCTGACCCCACCGCGCCAGCACTGACTTAGGGCTTTTGTGCAACCCCTCTACCTCGCTCCCTGACAAGAGGCAGATTCCCGGGCCCTGCCCTCAGGAGTTCCACGGCAGAGCCCTGCATCTGAGATGGTGCCAGGAGGCTCTGATGGCAGTGGTGGCTGACAGAGGGAGGTGGGCAGAACACCTACCTTGGTGATCTTGCCCCCACTAAAGTTGGCAAAGCGCTTGAGGGACAAGGTCAGAACACTGGACGCTCTGTGGATGGAGAAGCGCTTGCTGGCTGGAACCTTTTTCTTGCACCTGTGAGGACAGCGAAAGAGAACGGTGTGAGGTCAGTGACCCAAACAGTGAAGAGAAGTCAAAGAGGCAGGGAGACTAGAGAACTGGAAGACTGGAAACAGAACAGGAGTCCAACAGTGACCCTAATGCCCAGACGAGCAGGCAAGCAGGGTGGACGGAGAAAACTGGGACCAGAAACATGAGTAATTCCAATACAAGACAACAGAGGGGCAGAGACTAGCGTCCTGGAGACAGAACCACCAGGAGAGGAAAGAGAATGTTCGCATCACTGTGAAAACGGGACCCACACCACCCAACAGCTTGTGTAATGGCAATGGTCAAATGGGAACCTAACCTGCTGGGCAAAGCTTTCACTGAAAACAACAGTGAACAGAAACAACAGTATAAACGCACCCGCGAGCATGCACCCCCTCGGCGTGTGAGACTGTCACCTCACAAGGGTGCAGCCGGTTCCAGAGAGCTGAGGACGGGGCTACCTGAGTGACCAGCCCGCAGCACTGCCTCCTACTGTCTACACCCTCAGACACGCACCACCTCCTGCCACCTACACTCCTCAGAGGTGAGACCTCCTGCTGTCTACAACCCTGAGACACACGCATCACTACTTCCCACTGCCTGCACCCTCGGACGCAAGGTCGCTACCTCCCAGAGCCCTGTGGAGACAGAGCAAGAGAGGACTAGTGATGCCAGCACAGGGCACAGGGACACCACCTGCTAGGTGATCAGAGACCACACACCGCCCACACACCGCCCCCTGTACCCCTAAACACATGCGTTCCTGGTTTGCAGAAGCAGCACTAGAGCCCAGGTGAAGACAGGTATGCCCAGACTACGGGCAGCTCAGTGCGTTCCTGCCGAGGGAACTCGGGGCCGGACTTCACACCCTGACTTACTTGGCGCACATGTACGCGTTCTCTCCGCTCAGGACATCCGGCTTCACAAAAAGCTCCAGAGCGCGCACGATGTTTGCAGCTTGCTGAGGAGAGAACCAGGGAGAAGGGTCAACAGCAGAGCCAAAGGTGAGCCCAGGAAGCACCAAACCAGGGGTCTTTTTAGGCGGCAGCAGCAAATCACAAAATCTGCACAACAATTTGCCTGCTACTAAGAGGGGTTGCGGCTATGAGCCCTCCTGCTGCTGACGGTTCCCGTGGACCAGGTACCCTCATGAAGACTGCAGCAGGTCGGCTGCCACCAGGTCCCAGCGACCTCCAGACCACAGCAGCACCAGAGCCAGCTAGACAGAAAGCTTGCTCCCAAAAAGCCGCGGCACCCTACTATGCTGTCTGAAAACCACTCCACAACCTGGAGGTCCAGGCCTGGTCAGGCCCCTCTCATCCTGCAGACCCCTTATACCTGACAAGCTCTGTCCTGCTTCAGGACACAAAGCTCCATTTTAACAAAAGGAAACACCACAGCAAACACCAGCGAGACAGACCCTTTCGACAGCAGGAGGCCCGGTCCTCTCCCTGGTCCCGTGGTGACATGCTGCTCTGGGATCCGTGTCAGGGAGGTAACGATGACACCCTCCCGGCCTGCCCCGTTCTGTCCCGCCCATTCTCCTGACCCACACGTGTCCAGCCCGTACCCGGATCTCCAGCGCCACGTCCAGGTAGGGGTCGTAGGTGTCCGACACACTCCTGCAGACCGAGCACTTCACTGCAACAGAGCGAGAGGCAGTGAGCCGGCAGCTGGCCCCGAGGAAGCACACGACACAGTGACACATCTGAGCTCAAAGAGGCATGGAGTCCGCAGCGGCGGTGGCCTCCTTCCCAGCCAGTGGCCATGTCTCACCCCAAAAACAGCCGGCACTAGCCCCGCAACCCTCAGCTGCTCCAGTGGCCTCCCTCCCACCTCGGTCACTAACCACCCACCCACGCTGGGCATGGAGGCCACCAGCCATAAGCAGGGGGGGGAGAGAGCGAGGAGGAACATTGTCGTCGGCAGTGACATGCTCCCGCAGCAACAGTGAGCAACTGCCTAGGCCTAGCCCACTGGTAAAACGCCCTACCTGGCCTTCTAGGCCTTCCCACCAACATTCCTGGTCTTGCCAAGTAGGGGTGGGGAGGACACCTCACTTACCCCGGGACCTGAGATAGCCTCCAAATATCTGATGGACCAGGGTCGTGGCCTGCGTCTGGCGATCCAACCTGAGAGAGAGAGAGAGATCCACGCCTGAGAGAGAGCAGTGGCCGCACTCACGGGTGCCACACTTGGGGTGTTGAAGGACGCACGCGATCATGTATCAGCACACGCTCCTGCCCCGTGTGGACTCCAAGGCGCTCCCGGGATGTGTGCCAACGCGTCTGAGCTGGGACTCTCAGGGGTTCTGAAGTGTTACAGCGATGTCATGTGGCAGTTAGGTAATGACCCTCACGACGTAATCTGATGCGACCAGCTCTGATGTAAGAGATGTAAGGGGAGCCCCCTGGGGTGCCCTGCAACACCCTCTATGTTACAAAAGCTACAGGAGGAGCGAGTGGGCGGGGAGGGGAGGACCTCAGGACTGCGCAGGAAGAAGGGCCGGGAGCAGAGGCTTCCTGGGGACCCAGATCCCCACTCTGAGAACCTCAGAGACATCAAGACTCATGGGGACCTCTAAGAACAGCCAGCCAACATCACCAAAGAAAACCTTCCCCTGGGGCTGACCTCAGCCTTGTCGCCTATTAACTAGGACACAGGAGAAACGTGGTTGGCAAAGCCACCCCCTGCGGTGTTCCTGTGACAACACTGGAGAACTGAGATAGGCCCGATCCTTGGTGGTCTGCCCGTCTGTCCTCCTTAGAGCCTTACCCCGGGCTCCGACTGGCCGGTCCCTCAGCGGGCAGCCCGAGTCACGCCTCAGAAAAGGAGGAGCCCAGGCAACGCTCGAGGCTCCCCAAGCCTGCTTCCCGTCCGTCTCTGGAAAGAATCCCCCAGAGCCTGCTGGAGCCCAACATCTCCCTCACCTCCCCCATTTCTGCTCAACTCCACAGCACAGGTGCCCCACTGGAGGTAAGCGCCTCGCAACCCTGCTGGCTGGGGAGCAGGGGGCGTGAGAGTAAGACCTCCCTGAGCTCTCCATCCCCCTCCGGAGTGCAGTCACCGGCTCTCAGAACTGGGGTAGGAAAGTGCCATTTCAGAGGCACCGGGAAGACTCAAGCAGGAGCCTAGCGAGCTCCTTCCCGCCCCCCCCTCCCCGCCGCAGTGAGACTGCGCAGCACTGGGGCCACTGGGGGTTCCACCTGGGAGGGGGCCAGACGTGTGGGCTCTGGTGACAGGAACCCAGGGCCACACAGGTGGCCCAGCTACGATGGCACAGCTGAGGGGTTGGTAATAGGATGGAAAGATGTCCTCGGGACCAGGCAGGGGGTGAAGGGGAAGAAACGCAGGTCCTGAGAGGAGAAATCCCAAGGGACAGAACCTCCACAAGCCCAAGGGACCTGCACTTCACCGAGCTGACGGCAGGGGCGCCCTGGGACCAGGAGGCGTCTGTCCACCGGAGCCATCAGACTGCCCAGGAGCAATAGAAGCACAGAGGCTCCAGAAAGAAAACCTGAGGGCAAGCTGAGAAACGTGGCCCCCAAAATGCAAACGCCAAGTAGGAGAAAGAGGTAAGCTAAACGCCAAATCAAGTACCTGGGAAAAGCCACGCCGGGAAGAAACACAGCAATCAAAGCGTGACAAGAAGACGCTCATCAAAAGCAAACAAACAAGGGGGCTCTGGTGGCCTAGTGGCAAGAAGCTGTGCTGCAATCCTGCAGGTGTGCAGTTTGAATCCACCAGATGCTCTGCTGGAAAGGGAGGGGCAATCTCCTCCTGTACCAGTTAGATCGGATTCAACGGTACACCACCTCCACCACCACCACCACCACAACAACAACAACAAAAAGCAAACAAACAGGAGAGATAGCAAAGACATTTCAGGAATAGACTGAATCAAGAGCTGCCGAGAACAGGGTCAAAGGGCCCCTCCTTGCACAGGAAGCCCGGGAGGCGGGGCTACGTTCCTGGGAGCCGCACTCGCAGCGCTCATGGGGACAGCATTTAGGGTCTTGGCAGAGCAGCTACAGAGATGGGGACGAGGGGACCACCAGCAAGGTGGGTGTGATGGACACATTGCTGGCGTTGTATGCTTTGCTGTGACAATTCTCTTTGAAAAGCTAAAGCTGAAGGAAAACAAGCTAATGAGTGGACAGGAAGCACAGTGAGAAAGTGACACGGCCAAAGCGGAGGGACACAGCTGTTCGAATCCAGCTCCAAGGGAGAGGAGGGTGGCCGCCTCTCCTGTGACCTGCAGCCTAGGAAATTCAGCGCGGTGTCAGATATGAGCCGGAAGGAAGTAAGAGACTTCCAGAACGATGACAGAGCTTGGAATCAAACAAAATACCAGCGTGTTTCCAAGGCGAGAAAACTTTTCAATCAGGGTCGAATCTCCTGAGAGCCAGCGCACTTCTCTGGCACCAGCCATGTGAGCTAAGTGCATACGCTTCACCTTTCAACAGGCCTGGTGCCATGTGGCTGCTGTCAGGGCAAGCCTGTGTGAGCAGACTGGCACTGCTCTGTCCTGTGCCGTCTGCAAGCTCGCGGCTGCAGTGAATGCAGCGGATCAGTGACTCTGCTTACCAAAAGGCTGGCAGTCTGAATCCACCAGCTGCTCCGTGGTGGAGAGACGGGCAGTGCTTCAGCCTCGGCAAGCCCGAGGAGGGGCGCTGTGAGGCAGCACCCACCCAGCGGTAGCAGCTTTAGTTTGGTTTGTGCTATTTTTAAACTGTGACATTCACACGAGAACTCATTGCCGTGTTCCCAGGGCCGCTGGACCAGGGCGCTAACACTGTAGTGCTAAGACGTTACGTCCCTGACGCGCCCTGCCAGACTTTGCCAGGTGCGACCGCTGACCGTCTCTGCCGAGTCGCAAGGACTGTGCGCGTGTGGGCCGGGGAAGCACAGCCCGAGTGGTCGTGTTCAAAGAACCACCAGCACCCGGGACAGCGATCGCCAGCAGTCAGCTGAGATGGACACTGACCCGCAAGGCCTAGACACTGGCTCCTTTAAAGAGAACAACATGAAAGCCGTAACTAAAACCCACGAAGCCTTTAAGCACCAGCACCACAGAGAAGCTCAGCCGGGCCCAGGGAGCAGGGCTGGAGGAGGGGCTTCCCCCGACCACAGCAGGGCCCGGAGCCCAGGGCAAGCCGGCCGCCCCACACTTGCACAGAGGTGGTCTCTACAGCAGCACGCACTCACTTCATCTAAAGCAGCAGCTAGCCAGGACCACCAGCAGAGAGCTTCACCACTGCTTCGTCAAAGGAACCTCCAAAACAAGCACCCTCCTCTGCCGAGTCAGCCCTGAGTCAGGCAACCCCACAGGGCCGAGCAGAGAGGCCTCTCCGCCTCGGAGGCTGGAAATCCTTACGGAGCAGACAGCCTCATCCTTCTCCAGAGAAGGCTGCCTGACTTGGCCCGCCCAGCTGGTGGCCTGTCAGCTGTGCCACTGTAACCACTGTGCCACTAGGGATAGAGAGCACGGGCTGAGGCCAAGCCCTGACCGCAGCAAATGAAGAGCTGAGAGTAAAGCGGGAAACGAGAGGAATGTGGAGGGAAGAGGCAGAAACCGGCCTTTCTACCTCCCCACAGACAAGAGTATTGAGTATCCCATGGACCGCTAAGAAAATGAACAGGTTTGTCCGGCAGAGGGTGAAGCCGGGCTGCTCCTTAGAGTCAAGGATTCTGAAGCTTTGTCTGACATACTTTGGACATGCTGCAAGGAGGGACTGGTCCTTGGAGAGAGACGTCATGCTTGGGAGGGTGGAGGGATGGCGCAGGAGAGAAAGACCCTCTATGAGGTGAATCGATTCACTGACTGGGGTAAGGGGAGTAGGTGTGTCAGAGACAATGAGATTGGCACAGAACAGGGCAGAGTTTAGGGCTGTTGTACATAGTGTCGCTATGAGTCACAGGTGACTCGACGGCACATAACAAGACCACCACAAACAACGGAACAGTAAGCTGAGGGGTTGGGGAGAGGCAAACAAAAGGCTAAGAAAGCGGACCAGGAGCTCCAGGGCGTGGGCCCAACGGCAGCCACCCGGACAAACGCCAACCAAGTCTTTAAAAGCACAGAGAGGTCACAGGAAAAGCACAGGAGTTCTACTCATCTGATCCTGATGGAACAGAAGAATCCGGCAGAGCTGTGCCAACCTTTCCAGGTGGACATACGGGAACGGCTTTCGCTCTGGCCCACGTAAGCTCCTTCCTTGTTGGGAACTGGGGCTTCTCCCACCAGTCTTCACTGGTTAGGAGATCCACAGTGAAACCTTAGCAACTGATTTAAAAAGCGCCCCACAGCAACAGCTGCACCCCCCGAAGAGATTAGCTAAGGCTACTCCTCAGAGCTGCTGGACCACTGACCATACCCCACGACCACGCCAAGGGGACTGCGGCAGCAACGAGCACAGTCCCCTGCTGGGCGTCAAGGGCCACATGTCCCGCTGTCCCCCGTGTGGAGGAGACCAAACGCCCTGATCCCCACGCCGTACTTAGCGTAGCCGTTCAGGCAGGCCTTCTGCATGGCGTCGATGGTGTACCGGAGAAATTCATGGGCGTCCTCCTGGTTCCCGAAGCGGAAATGCCGGGCAATTTCTATGGTGGAAAAGAAGCAGCTTTAGAAAGGTTGGGCAGGGCTGGCCTTACTTGTCTACGACCACTGCTCTCCTCGGCTCTGCCCAGGAGCTGCACGTACACAGAACAAAACCAGAGCCCTGTGTCAGCGGTGACAACCCGCCCCAGTCATCAACGCAGTGCTGCTTCTCGAGACTGAAGAGCGTCAAGACTCAGTCCTCCACAGAGAACCCAGAGAGTCAGCCACCGGAAAGCACAAAAGCGGCTCACCGGCAAAGAGCAAGTGTAAACACAGTGGGTTAGAGCCACAATGTGGACTGTGACGGAGGTATCCCTGATAGCAGTGGTCCACGCCCCTGTGTCACCTGATGCTCAGAGACTTCCTGCACATCCTCATCCACTCAGTCACCTGACCCCATCAATGCCATCCTGTCTAACACTCCTCTGCCCGGCCCAAACCCACCTGTCCTTCAAAGCTACAGTCATCCCGTCTCTCCGCTGAGACGCTACATTACTCCTCCTTCAGTCTGCACTGCCAAACGTGGGGCAGGGGCCCCTCCATGACTGGACCCCGAAGCCTCCGTCTCCCACCTCTCCCGCCAGCACCCAAGGCAGAACCAGGTGCAAGTGGAGTGATTCCGAGCGAGGGACAGGGCCTTACATCTAAGGTTCTATCCACACCCCTCCCTCGCACACCCGCCAGGCACACACGGAGCAGCACCGAGCGAGGGACAGGGCCTTACTTTTGAGGTCTCGGATGAAGGAGACAGGCTTGATGGCGTTGCCGCTGTTGGCAAAGGCCTGGGTGATGTGGTTCTGCATGACACACAGCATACAGAAGCTCCCTTGGTGACCTGCGGATGGACAGAGCTGTTCTGAGACATCCTCACAACACCCTGCTCCAACACAGCGGAGAAACAGCTTCATCACAGAGTCTGGTCTGGACAAAGGTGGCAGCACCCCCAGATCCTGAGTAGGAGGTCTCGGAGCCAGGATGAAGCCACCGTGGTGATTCTGACCACCTCCCTCTCGCCGTTACCCTGCGCGTAGGCTCTGACTTTCCTTACTGGCATCGGGGTCTGATGACCTGGTTGCTGCTGGCAGCTCTGACTCAGAGTGACCCCACGCAGCGTTGAGGGGAATAAGGGCTACAGGGTTTTCAATGGCAGATTGTGAAAGGAGATTGCCAGGTCTTTCTTCCTGGGGTCTCAGGGAGGATGTGAACCTCCAATCTTTCAGTCAGCCGCAAAGAACTCTCAGGCTTTCACCAGTAGGGATGCCATGCAAACTGCGGCCCACGGTCAGTGGCTGGACTGAGTATGGTGAACGTGGGGCTTCTGCTCCACACCGAGGAACCCTGCCTGCTCTGTCACAGCACCCCCTCACCCGTCCCCCGTCCCTGCAGCGAAAGCAGCCACGTCAGTCCGGAAGACGTGAGGACAGGTCTGCCAATGCCGCTGTAACAGTGCATGCTGGGTCACTTGTTTACAAACTGGCTTTACTCTACTTTTCTTCTTGCAATGTCTTGTGGGATTGAATCAATTTACAATTAAAATACGAGATAATTGCAAATAAATGAGAAAAATCAAGTGTGATTTCTGAAATAATGAGGAAAAACATGACAAAAATAATCTCAGAGAAAGTAAAAGAGTGAAAAAAAGAGACGTAGGCTACTGAGGATGGGAGACGTCAAGCCCGGAACAGCGGCATCTTGTGAACCAAGTTTTCAGGAAACCAACAGGGACGCCTGTGGCCCCCAGTGACGGCATGCCACGAGGTCCAGATGCCGTGACCTTTCAGAAGCAGTCCACTGGCCGGTAAGGTGCCTGCGGGTGGGCTTACCTTGCCCACCTCTGCAGATGTCCGAATGAAACGCATCAATAAAAATTAGCCAACTACTACCCCTCATGGAGAAATCCCACTGAGTCGGTGGACACTGTTCCCGGCAGCACTGAGCAGGCCCAACGCGCCTCCCGGGCAGGCCCGCCCACGGGGCAGTGGAAAGCATGACAGCCAAGCGGCACACGCTTCTCTCCAAGGGGCCAGCGGGCTCCAACCTCCTGGTCAGCAGGTGAATTCTTTAACCAATGCACCATCAAGGTTCCTCTCACTACTCTGTTTTTGTTGCTCAATGGAGTTCAAGTTCATCCATTCCCACAGCCAAGTAGCTAGGAATGGACCGGGGGGCCATGCTCCCGGCTGTTCCTGTCCGTGGGCAGTGCCATAGCCCCGGCCTGTACCCTGTGCACCTGGGTAAGTCTGCTGGGTACTGGAGATGCCAGACTGCTCGGTCAAAGGCCAACCTGCAGCCCAGAACTTCATCCGAGAGTGCGATTCCCCCCACACTCTGATTTATTATCCTTCTTCATTTATTCTGGGTTTATTTGTCTGATCTCATACTTGTGATCAATGCTGTCTTCTGTTTCAACTTTATAAGCAGCACTCAGGCTGTCTACAGTTGCCAGGACGATTCTGCTTCACACTTGACTATGATCTGTTTGGGAACCTGGAGCCCCCTCGCCTTCACTGCTCTGCCTTGTCCAGTTTCTGGTGATGGACATCTGGGTTGCTTATGGTCTTTGGCCATTAAGAGTCTTCCATGTGGGATTCCTGGCATCCCGTCCAAGGGCTGGAGATAGACCGTTTAGACCATTTAAAAGAGAATGGCCGGCAGTTGTTCAAGCGGATCAGGAGCAGAGAAAGAACTGCTTGTCCCCTCCCTCCAGCCTTCCTCATGCAGTATGACCCAACTTCTGAATTTCCTGCAGCACAGCGGTGTCACTGGCCACCCACTGCACGGCCGTTTCCCTGACAACCAGCAAGGCTGCGGCTCTGATGTTTCCTTGTCTGTGAGACACCAGGTCAGGACCGCTACCCGCCGTGCGGGAGGCGACCTCGCTCACTCCCACAGCCGAGCACTGAGCATCCGACAGGCCTGGTGGTTCTTTACGAGTCGCGTACGCGTCAAGGTCACAGACATCACCTAAGCGCGCAGTTAGGCTTTTACCCATTTTAGTAACAAGCGTTCTTCATCTAAATGTAGCCAAACTGAATAACTTAAGTTCTTCTTTAATGGTCCATACTTTCCAATCTTAAGAAATCTCCCATCCCAAAGACTATCTGTGAAAATTTCTTGCACAAATTATTTACCTGATTTTCTTATGACAAAAGTTTTCAATCCTTTCGAGGTTGACTTTTGTGTATGCCATGAAACAGGAGCGTGATCTTCTTTTCTCATATAGAAAACCAAGTTTCTGAAGTTGCATTTGTTTAAAATGACAGACAGACCTACCGGTGAGAAACTGAGATGCAGGACGTTCTTCCATGCAGCCAGGAGTGACTCCGGGCTCCTGACTCAGTTTACTGCTCCATGTGCGGTTGGGCCGGCGTAAAGGCACTGCTCAGAGGCAGCAAATCAATGGAGGACACTCTCCATCTTCCGCCCACGGAGCAGGCGGTGGATCTGAACCATATGCCTTTGGGTTGTCAGGGCGACTCCTCACCACTGAGCCACCAGAGGTCTCACTTAAAAGCACGAGTCTCTAGTTATGGGCGTGACCCCTGGCGTCCTTCCTCCTGTGAGGTGTCCAGGACACTTCCGGCCCCCTGCTTCTCTCTATTAGTTAACTTTCTCCATCGCAGCTGTACTGAGAGAACGGCCACTTTCACCACCCTGACTGCCCCTTGGTGCTGAGAACTTCTCCAGTATGGACATTCACTTGCGGTCCGCGGTCCATGTTTCCAAGGTGTTCTGACTGCCCACCGAATCGGCTCTGCGGCACCTTACACGTAAAGGCAACAGTGCGGCCTGGCCGCCTGCAACTCCAGGATGGCTGGCCTGCGGCCACTGCACAGCTGCTGCTGTCCATCCAGCTCCTGGGAGACCTTCATGTCCACACACTTGTGTCTTTTTAGCAACTGGTCTCTTCCAATGATGCATCCTAAGCCGTGTCAGCCTTCCCAACACACCTTCGTAAGCAGCATTTGATGCTTCTCTTTAAGCATCTCACTGTTCCCTGGGCAGGCCCAGCACATTGTTCACCGTAATCACAGTGCGAATCCACCAAGTCTTCTGATTTCCTTTGCATCCGAGAGACCCCAGCCTGACTCAGATGTGCCAAATCCCTCAAAGTGACATCTTTGGTTTTTCAACTTTAACATGGTCTCCTGCAGCAGAGGTGCCCAACTCCAAGCAGCCCGATGGCTTCTCCAAAGCTCTAAGTCTTTATGGGAAAGGACGGCCGGTTTCCCTCTCGGGGAGCAGCTGGGGGAGCCGAAGGGCTGACCTCTGGGTTAGCAGCCAGCCTCCTTACGTGTCACGTGTGCCCATGAGTGCCGGGTAAATGAGTGCCGCAGACCTGGACGCATTCCGCCACTATACATTTTCAGTAAAGGCAAATGTTTTTAGGCTGTTTAGTGCAGAGAAAGGGAAGTGACTTTTGCACAGTGGTGTCTGAGCCAGGCTGCCAGCATTCCAGAAAGCTGCACAAACATGCTCGTGGCTTCCACACGGACAAGCATCTCCTCTGCAAACACCAACCCCCTGTCCTCTTCTCTCTCCCAGGTCACACTGAGGGCACAGCACTGACCACAAGTGATGAAGATCGTGGCTGGCTGTGACCTCGCGGCTCCCAAGCGTGTGCTCCTGACACTGTCCCATTTGTAACGCTCTGTGCTTCTCTGTGAGGCAGGTGCCCTGGATCAGGTTCATGAAACTCCCTTCTGTTACTTTACTAAGACTCCTATTTTTTAATCATAAACTTTCCTGGCATTTCTTGTCAGGCAAACTTTCTCCTTTAACCTCACTCTGTAAACTGTAACTGCTACACTAACGCATCAGGGTAGCATCAAGTGTAGGACAGCTCCCAGCGCCCCTCGGGACAGGGGACAGCTCCCGGCGCCCCTCGGGACGGGGAAGAACTGCATCGTCGTGAGGACAATGGAGGACGTGGCCAGGCGTCAAGTCTGTACAGTGTGGAGTCAGGATGAGCCAAAGCGGACTTCACAGCAATCACTAGCCGGCCAGCACCCCCAGGTCTTCTCAACTGTGGACTCTGCGGGAACAGACTGTTGGTCTCTCTCCCACGGAGGCCTTGGGTGGGTTCCAACGACTGACCACACCGGTTACTACAACCAGGGCTGAGCTGTCCTACCACCAGGCCTCCTTCAATGTACTGAAGTTACAGAATGAGGGCGGGGAGCACAGGAGGGAGGGGTGGGGAGCATATAGGGAGGAGGGCGGGGAGCACACGGAGGAGGGCAGGGAGCAGGGGGAGGAGGCAGCCGAGGGAGGAGGGACAGGGAGCACAAGGGGGAGGGTGAGCGGCATGAGGAAGGAGGAAGAGCAGGGAGGACAGAGAGCACGGGGGGGGGGGGGGGGGGGGGAGGGAGGGGGGGGGGGGGGGGGGGGGGGGGGGGGGGGGGGGGGGAATGCAGCAAAGTAAAGAGAGACAGGGAGCACGGGGGAGGGTCAGGCAGCACAGGGGGGGAGGGTCGGGCAGCACAGGGGGGAGGGTCAGGGAGCATTGGGAAGAGGGCCCGTGGCTCAAGGCTGCACACACAGAACCAGGACGTGGCGTGGAGGGCAGACCCTAGCCTGTGCCATCTCTTGGCTGTGCTGAGCTCTCCAGAGCTCACATTCACAGGGTCTCTAACGGCAGGACACCCCTGCATCTCCAGGAGAAACACAGCCTGCTGGCTCTGCCAAGACCTCTAAACTCAGTCAGGGGAGCTGTTACTGCTGACCTGACTCTGATCAGAGGCACAGAGAAGGAATCGCTGCCCAGTCCCACGTCACCCCCCCCCCCCCCCCCCCCCCGGGTCTTTATCAAGTTCACTGTGCGCTTGAAGTGGCCTCCGAGGGCGGGGTCTGTCCTTCCAGGGCTCTATCAGACGACACTCCTGTCATGCATGAGGTCTCCAAGGCTAAGTATCAGAAGGAGACTGCAAATCCTTTCTTCCTAGTCCGGAGTGCTCCTGGGCCTTCACAGCATCGGCCCCTGCTGGTGTCCGACATGCTAACGGCACAGACACCGGAGCTGGAAGGTCGAGTCTATGAAGTTTTTAGAACACTGACGACCAAGGCGAAGCTGCAGTTTTTCTCGTGTTTGTCCGTGACTACTCTTGTTACCCGAGTTCTAAGAGCCTCCAGGAGGAGCTGGGGAGGAGTCTCCTCTTTCCCGTCACTGAAAGAGTCTGAGGCACTGAAATGACTTGCTTCCCAAAGAGGCATTCTGGCCTCGGAGACGTGGAACCGCTGCTGCGACTTAACAGACAGCTCAACAGCTACTATTTTCTGTCCTCTTCCCTCTTGCTAAGTCACACTGTCTTTCCTCTGCTCCTGGTGACATCTTCCTGGAAGTGCGTGCTACAACGTATGACAGCTGCCGCGGGGAGGGACCCTTCATTTTCCCAGCACGGAGATTCTACTCCTGGGGATGGACGAGAGCAAAGGACACGGACGACACTAGCCTTGGAGGACCACACTGGTGGAAACCGGAGAACTGCAAACGTTATCTGCTCTTTGATAAATCTTTCTGGGGAGAAGTGCGACCAGATGCTCTCAGAATCAAAACCCGTGTCTGCCTCCTGAGTTCTGCACAGACTCCCAGCAGGACACCACCCCTGGCCAAGCTGCTGCTGTGTACTCCTGAGTGGACGCTGACTCGAGCGGAACTTCCACGCTCCTAGAGCCTGGACATGGCAGGGGAGGGGACCGCCCAGCTTTCTCCTGCAGAGCGGACCTTCCGGGCTCTGAGGGGAGGGGACCGCCCAGCTTTCTCCTGCACAACACCAGTGGATTCCAGCTGAGTTCCTCTGTGCTGGCAGTGCAACCCCTTACCACTAAGCCCCCTGCTTAAGCTCCCCCTCAGAGTTCCCTCTGCTTAAGGGCTTGCAATAAAGTGGCAGAGCCTTGACAGGCGGCCGTGAGCATGGCGTGGGACCAACGCCACTATGTTCTGTGGCAACAGGACTGGGAGGCACTGGCACTGACTCGATGTCACCTGACCACATAACTGAATAAAAAGATGGTTATAAGCTAACACGTACAACGGACCGCGTGTACTCGGGAAGGGTCTTTTGAAGACAAGTCCGCTCTGGACAGGTCCACTGACCAGTGCCTGGCACCCACTTCATCGCCCTGTAATTAAGACTCAGGCTGTCAGTAACCATGTGAAGGGCACCCCTGAATCTGTGGCAAGGAGAGGCCCCAGACCCCCCAGAGAGGACACTCACAGCTGCGGGCATGCTCCTTGGACAGCAGGTAGTTGGCGAGAGGTGGCGTGTAGGTGAGACACTGGACGGTGGAGTTGAGGAAGCAGGTGTTGCCCAGGTTGTGGAGGCCAGCACCCACGCGGTACACGCGCTCCCACTTCAGGGACAGGCGCTCCGTGGGGAAGAGCACCTTCTGCGGGGCGGGGACGCCATCCGTGCCTCCGTCGTACGCATGCTCACCACCTGAGGGGACAAGGCGAGCATGGCAGGGTTAGCGCCAGGTGGACCGTGTGGAGAAACCCCGTCTATGCGCCTCGGAACCAGCCTGGAGCTCCCCAAGGCCTGGTGCTGGGGTTATGGCTCAGAACTGGAAGAGCTCGGAAAGCTGGAGAGTAGAGCAGTCAGCCCACGGGCCGTCCAGGCTGCTCGAGTCTAGGGTTTAAGGACCCGACTGAGGAAAAGGGGCCCAGACCCAGGCAGGAACAGGGGGCAGACATCGGGCCAGCTTGGGTGTGGTGCGTCCAGGATGCTCGAGTCTAGGGTTTAAGGACCCGACTGAGGAAAAGGGGCCCAGACCCAGGCAGGAACAGGCGGCAGACGTCGGGCCCAGCTCGGGTGTGGTGTGGTGTTCCTACAGCCATCCCATCCTCCCCTCCCCAAGGCTTGCTCTCCAGCCTCTCCAACTTGGAGGGGGCGAGAGGAGTCTCCTTCCCAGCAATCCTGCACGGCCTCCCGTGGCCGACATCCCAGGTGCCTGCAGGATTCATGATCCTCTGCCCAGATGTACTTTTGTTCCCGACCCCTGGTCAGCATTTACATGACCACGTCATCAGTGAGCTCCCGGGGCCCTCTGTCCCCATCTGAGCAGTGCCTGTACCCTGTCTCTTGATCTGAGGTTCATCGCCACTCTTGTGTCGACCAGTGCCCTCCACTTTGGGGTTCAGCAGCACGTATTTGCTCTTGAGCGACTCCAGCTGGTAGGAGAAGCTCTTGCTGGCGGGCTCGAACTCAATCTTCTGCAGCAGGACTTTCTTGGCAGAGGCGGCCAGCAGCCGCCCCAGCTCCCCATCGTCAGCAGAGTCCTTGCGGCCTGGCTTCAGCGCCTCCTTCAGCTTATCCACGATCGGCATGGTGCATCACTGTGGGCGAGAAGGGGTGCTGAGCTCAGGAGAGCTGGAGCGGGGAGGGAGTCCTAGGAGCAGACAGCCTGAGACATGATTCAGGCAAGATCCGAAAACACACACACACACCCTGACACAGACACAGACACAGAGAGTAAGGAACCAGCCCACAGAAGGCAGGAGGGGCAAACACGTGAACAGACTGCTCTTTAAACGCAGGCCTCTGGCGCAGCTACTCTTAGCTGAACGTCATTTGTGACTCCCATCCTACTTCTCTGATACACACGATCTTTCTAAGGGGGGGGGGAAGTAACAGGGTGAAAAAGCACAAGAGGTGACAACACTGGACAAGCCAGTTCCCACGCCCCCAGGGCAGAGCGCGACCCCCCAGGCAGGGCAGGGCAGAGCTCCCACAGGGTTTTCGAGGCTGCAATCGCTCCACCTTCCTCCATCAGAGAAACAGCTGATGGGTCCTAATCTCTGACCCTCCAGTCAGGGACCCAATGCTCAAAACAGCTCCACCAGGGCCCCCTTATAGGACCATGGAGCACTGAGTGGGTGAGTGGACAGATCACAGGCTAGACACCCTGGGCTGCCCCCAGCTGCATCCTCTAGGAGCCATGACCACCTGGGAAAGACGGTCTCGCTTCTCTGAGCCTCCTAGTCTCCAAGTGTCAAACACGGAAAGAAACCATCAAGGCTGCTGCGAGGATCAGTCAGAGCCCACAGGCGCTGTGTAACTGCCAAAGACCTCCTTGCAGCCCTGCAGGTGGGGAAGACACTGTCCCCAGGGCACCCCGGGCAGCAGGCAGCCACCAGGAAGCACAGAGCTCCCTGATTGCTGCACTTGTCTCTGATTGCCGCTACACTGTACCCATCTCTGTCCTGATTGCTACACTTGTATCTGTACGCTTTCTCCCACCCACACCCTTGCAGCCCAGCCATCCCAGTCAAAGATTATCTGAGTCACACTGAGAAAACCAGCTTCATCCCCACTCCCCTCATGAAAAGGGTCACTGCACCTGGAGTCAGGGCCAGCCTGCCATGAGAAATCTAGCTAGGTGCACCTCAACTCCACACAAGGACAAATCAGAACCCCTACCCTCCATCTGAACCTTCAATCTGTCACTAAGGAAACATGAATTCTGTGTGCAAACTGAATTCTTAATTTCTACAATTTCTGTAAAATACAGATTTGGGGTTTTTAAAAGCAAACACAGGTTTAGGATCTGAGGGGAAAAGATCCATCTCTAAGCAAACTGGTCTGAGTTCCCACAGAGTGAAGGAACGACCCTGGGAAGGCTCTGCGGAGGGCTCATCTGGGAGGGCTGCCTGGGGGTTGCGTGGTTCTGCAGCATCGAGTCCGTTACTGAGGGGGAGAGGGTAAGGGGTGGGCAGCAGGCCTATTAAAACACCACAGCGACCGAGAGCTGTACTGTCCAGAGGTGTCCCGGGCGCTGGTGGTCCTGTGGTGAGGAGCTGTGCTGTCCACTCTAAGGTCTGCGGTTCAATACCAGCTGCTCCATGGGAGAAAGATGGGCAAATGGGGTGTCCAAGTCTGTGGGATGAACAGAAGCTCGTCCCAGGAGGCCAACTCACCCCCAGGCACCCCAGCATCCCATTCCATGGAAGTGGTACTGAAATTCTGCCCACTAACAACCTGGAACACACTGTCTCCAAAGCCCAAGGAATGTCCACAGCACTGGACTCAGGAGGGATGGGGAGGAGAACACAAGTCATGGTGCTGGAAACCGAGGCCCTGCGCCACACTGCAGCCCTGACGCTAATGTCAGTGCAGGGGACCCGACAATCCCAGCTCACTGGTCAACCTCTTAACACTCCCAGAGAGGAAGAGGGGGCAGCAACACCCCCTCATGGAAGGTCCCATAAGCCAGGAAAAGGCCAGGGGAACCTCAGAGCAGTGAGTGGTCCAACTTCTACTCTGCCCATAAACGTGTTACGTATACAGACGTAACTACTTAATTATGGTGTGCGCGTTTCTAACGCTTACTATGACAGCAGACACACGGGCTCCAAGCACGAGCACGGTCTCAGCAAGGAAGGCAGGCTCCTCGCGCTGGGTAAGAGCTGCGCTGTGTCATTGCTGTCATCACTCACGCCTCACAGCTTCCTAGGGTCTCACGTGGACTTGAGTCTCTTACACGGATCATGTGGGGGTTACATGGCTTTGACCCGACTTGATTTGAGAGCACTATCTCAAGGAAGTACTAGCATCCTGACCTTGGCACCCACAGAGATAAGAGGCTGTACAGTACCAGCATCCTGACCTTGGCACCCACAGTCAGGACATAAGAAGACGTAAGCCAGCTGTCGTTGTCAGTGATCACTCCAAGATCCTGACACACAACGACGTCAGTTTGAGGAATAAGGTGCGCTTGATTCAGGCCATGGTGTTTTCAATTACTTGCTATGTAGTTTTCAATTACTTGCTATGTATCCGACAGCTGGACAATGAATAAAGATGACAAATGAAGTGATGTCTCTGAGCTGTGCTGTTGGAGAAAAGAAATAAATATCCCATAGACGGCCAAAGAACAGACAGATACGTTTGGGAAAACGTGCAGCCAGAGTGCTCCCTGGAGGCAAGCACGCCAAACTTCATCTGTCATACTCCGGACGTGCTGCTGGGAGAGGGCTTTTTCCTGGACAAGGATATCACGCTTGGAAGCATGGAGGGTCAGTGAAAGAGGAGGACCCCCCTCCCCATGGAGATGGTCTCACAGGGTGACAACAACAGACTCAAGGGTGTCAGAGATGATAAGGAAGGCACGGGGCAGGGCAGGGTTCACATCTGCTGCTCAGAGGGTCACTGCAAGTCGTACTCAACTCCACAGCACCTAACCACCACCAGCACCTTAGATAAAGGACACTTGTTCCATGACCCGGCCACAAATGCAAAGTCAGAGATTCTGTGCAGATCTCACAGGAAGATCAAGCTCTCATTCACCTATGCCGCTCTCTCAGACGATGGTTCTGAGAGGCACAAAACCCAGAAGGTGTGTAACCATCACCAGCAAATCCTCTGAAAGTCACATAGGATGGCATAAACACCCCTTACACCCACTAAGACCACACCCTCCCCAGTTCTCCCAGCTCAGGGAAGGACCATATTTACAACAGGCACACTGAACGCACTTAGTATGTATGTTTCTGGAGCGGGCTAGCAAAGGAGAGAAAGACCCTCTGGAAGATGGAGTGACGCAGTGACCTCAACGATGGGGTGGGGCAGAGGTGGAGAGGGCATGCAGCACCGTGCAGGTCAGCACTGCTGAGTGACTGCGACAGGCTGCCTGCAGACACCACCCGAGCCCCGGCACGCGCCCCAGCACACACCTGAGCACGCGAACGCGCCCCAGCACCCGCCCTCTGCCTGCTCACTCCTCCTGCATCCGCAGCACATGCAGCAGAGGAACGACAGCAAGACAGAGCCACTGCCCTGACCAGCTCCAAGTCACAGCGACCCTGTAGATAACAGACCAAACCAAAACTCTGCCCATCCCACCGCACCCCTCACGCTCTCCTCTCTGCTTTGAGCCACTGTGTCCCGCTACCTCTCAACATGCCTAGAATGCAGATCTAGGATCTACCTTTAAGAGATCCAACAAAATGTGAAAATTAAAGAACATCATCAATGTTAGCACATGCAGGCAAATGTGGAAGATAATTTTAAAATAGCAGGAGCAATATATTAACAGGAAACGATCAGAACTCCAAGCCGGATGTGCAAGAGGGCATGGAATGAGGACTAGCACGGCCGATCTGGCATGAACACAGAGAATGACAGAAAAACGTTTACTCCTTTTTCTTGACTATGCAAAAGCAGACAGACGTATGGATCATATGCAGTGATGGATAATATGGTGAAGAAAGGGGATTCTTGAGCATTTACTTGTGCTCACGTGGAACCTGTATACATAGGCCAAGAAACTATCTGAAAAAAAGAAAGGGGCTACAACATGCTCTAAATCGAAATGATGTGTGCCGGGAATGCGTGCTTTCACCATCCCAGTTCAATACGCACACAGAGCAAATAATGTGAAAAGCTGGACTCCGCGAAGCTCAGCACAGCAGCAGGATTGGAGGAAAATCCATCAATAGCCATGAAGCACTAACTGATGAAGATGCAGGATTTTAACTTTCAATATGGATTACACCTCGACATCAAGAAAACTATAATCCTTACAACTGGACTGGTACGTGGCATCACAGTAAATAGAAAAAAAGACTAATGCTGTCAAACAGCAGAGAAGAAGAAATCAAGTTATCTTGAGGGGACACCTGTTTTCAAAGACCTCTTTTAAAAAAGTCTTTAAGAGCAAGGCTTTCTGTTTAAGGACTAAGGTGGGTCTGACTTAAGCCACAGTATTTTCAACTGCATATGTACGTGAACGCTTGAAACTAAGGAAGACTGGAGAACTGATGCCTGTATGCTGTGGTGCTGCCAAGGATGCTGAATACAGTGGACTGACAAAACCACCTCGTCTGAAAGAAGTGCAACCAGAGTGCTCCTTAGAAGCAAAGATGGCTAGACTTCACCTCACATACTTGTGCATGTCGTCGTAAGGAGGGGCCTGAGCCTGGAAAAGGACATCAAGCTTGGAAAGGTGAAGGGTCAGAGAATGAAAGGACGCCCCCACAACAAGATGCTGTGACAGAGACATGAAAGGAGGAGACTGTGAGGATGGCCCAGCACTAGCTGGGACTCACTTAACTAGCGCAGGTCTACAAGGCTCCTGGGCATCACTTCAGAGAACTGCAGCCAATAAGCTGAAAGCCTGAAGGAATGAATGAATCCCTGAAGGCCTGGATGGTGGCATGCGTACCAAACACGAATTCTGGGGCCAAGATCTTTGCCCGCCTCATCTTGTCCCGGTTTTAGGGTGCTGCTGGAGCACCTGGCTGCACAAAGGGGACCCAATCCCACCTGAGAAGACCCAGGTCGGCCGGGGGCCCAGCAAGGCCTCGCTGTGAGTCTAGCATGAGGTCAC